CATGTTCAAAAGCATCTTCAGAATACTCTGATCCTCCCTACATCAGAAAATGCCTCTGTCTCTTTGGCCTCCTTGATCCAAGAAAAGAAATCTGCCTGTGGACAGATTGTCAAACTGTTATTGTTCTTTTCAGGGTGTGTTGACATTCAGTGATGTGGCTGTGGACTTCTCACAGGAAGAGAGGGAGTGCCTAGATCCTGCTCAGAGGGCTTTGTAAAGAGACCTGAAGGCGGTGGAGAATAACAGTTCTCTTGTTTCTGTTGGTGAGAATATTTTCTTTTACAGAATCTCTTATACTCACAGTCCCTTGATGAACTACTATATGTGTGTGTTAACTTCCTGTGAGTGAGTCTCACATCTGATAAAGTGACAGTCTCAGAGGAGAAAACACTGTAAAGTCATTTTGTCAGTTCTCGTGTTTGTCTGCAGGGAGTAGTTATGCTTCTTTCATTTTTGGTCCATGATAATTTCATAAACCTTTTTTTTTGCATTGGTCTTTTTGAAACAGAGTTTCTGTGTAGCCCTAGCTACACAGAATGGAAGTCATTATATAGATCAGGCTTGCCTCGAACTCACAGATATCTGCCTGCCTCTGCCTCCTGAGTGTCACCTCAATCATAAAGCCCCATTTCCAATCTGGAATTTTGGCAGAGCTGTAATTAGACATGGAGCACTAATTATGCAAACTGAAAAAGCTCTGTAAATATTATCAGTGTTCTGACAGAATATTCCAATCAGAGAGTCATTGGCAGAATTCCCTGTTGTGTTCTCTCTTTATTTATTGAGCTCATTACTGTGTTAGAAGTCCAGGTCCTTTCTAAAGACTGAAATCACGAGCCACCCAGCCCAGCCATACAAAGTTGCTAGAGCACTTAGTGTCTTGTGCATTAAGCTGTGTCGAGCTGGGGTGCTGTGCGTGATGGTGATATCCTGAAACACACAAGAGGCAGGTGGTCGTGAGGGACACATCCCTGCACATTTTGTTAGTATGGAAAAAAATTATCATCAGTTATTAGAAAGTACATTTGTGAGACATGGAGTCAGACATCCATAAACTAAAATGCAAAATTACAGAATATTTTCCCCTTTTTAATATTAACTCTTAAAAATCCTTTATTATTTTTATTTTATGTGTTGAGTATATTGCATACATGTATGTAAATATACCCATGTCATGCAATGCACACTGAGGTCAGGAGAGTGTGTCACATTCCCACATCCATAGTTACAGATGGTTGTTAGTTCCAATGTGTGTACTGGGAATTGAGACTGGGTCCTCTGCAAAACTTGTCATTGTTCTTAACCTCTGAGCCATCTACCAACCCCTTAATATTAATTTTTGACAAAAAAGAACTATATGTATTTAGAAGGTGCAATGTGATATTTTTCTCTCTATGTACATTTTTGAAATTGACTAATAATGTAACACAATGACGACTTCATGAATTTTCATATTAAAATGCGTATACTGGAAGAAATGTCACAGTTTTGAGACTGAAAACTGCCTTTTAAGCCTAAGAATAAGTTGGCCGCTCCTGAAATATATGCCCATTATATTTCAAGAATGTGAGAGTCTGAATTTCAAGTAAAGCCCTCCCAGTTCATCAGAAGAGACACATTTACTGTCTTAGTTAGTACATAATAAGCCAGAGTTATTTCTTTGAAATTCAGATGCACAATCTAAATGTCCCTCAGAATATGAATGGATTATGTCAATTTGGTACATTTATAGAGTGGAGTTCTACTTAGTGATAAAGGAAGAAGAAATCAAGGAATTTGCAGGTAAGTGGATGGAACGAGAAATGGTTGTAATAACTGAGGTAAAACATGTGAAAAAGCAAGGCACAGGTGTTCTCTCTGAAGTATAGATTCTACTACCAAATCCTGCATAAATACTCAAAGGAAATGAATTCAATACCGCATAGAGATATATGCACTCCCTAATTATGGCAGCCCTGTTTGAAGAATGGGAAATCTACTTAAATGCCCATTAAGAAATGATTTATTGAAAGGTGATGTTTCTAAATAATTCACCACAAATCCATCATAGGAAAGTGTAGAGTCCTCTTATACTTGAAAACAGGATTTATGTGGTTGGCACTGTATCAGGTAAAGGAAGTTGAGACACTACATATCTCAGTCATAAGAGAAAAACAAAAAAGGTAGATGACAGATGTTGAAGGTACAATAGCAGATTCCAGGGAACGGGGAGAATATGGGGTAAATAACAGTGTCATGAGTGAACTAAGTTCTATTGTTCTGTGTCACAGCAAGGTGAATAAAAGGGTATAAATGACTGACTAGATCAATCTCCAATATATCTGTCTCACAAAATATCAGGGACACTTCATTAATATGTAAAATATCGCACAATACAAATTGCATTTTTATTAAAAGCTATATAATTTTATGTGCAAGAGGGTTTTGTTTGCATTGATGTAAGTGCAATCATGTGAGCCATGTGGCTGTAAGCCAGTGTGGGAAGGCCTGGAACAGATGTTGTACAGTTAACACCATGTGGTTGCTGTAAACCCATTCTGCATCCTCTGCAAGAGCAGCCAATATTCTTGACCTCTGAGCCATCTCTCCAGCCCCAAGAATAGACTTTTAAAATTCACAATGAACTCCTGAAATTTAGCCTTTAAAAGAAAAACTCTCACTTCTGCCCCCTCCACAGATTCTGTCTATGAAGCTAAGTAGAAGCATCAGTGCTGTTTCAACGAACAGTCGCGAGCAGAAGACAGGCTGGGGGTCAGCTGCCAGTGCTTCTGAGGGAGAGCTTAGTTTAGCCCCTATTCCAAAGGATAAAACCCCTGTTACTCTGCCTAGTTTAGGTTAGGAGGTGAGGCAGCTGCGTTCCCACGAATGTAGTAGGAATTGTGATCTTGTTGGCAGGGCAGGTTGCTGGAAGGCAGGAAAGCAGAAACTTCTATCGGGGTCTCGGTGTGGAGCTCTTTCTTCTTGCACGTCTCCTGTGACGGAAGACAGTGAGAATGGCCTGTTTTGTTTTCTGAGGTGCTTCTTCTTGTTATGTTGGCAGGTGATGTGGATTTTCAGTGAACTGGAAGGAAGTTTCTCAAAACAGAGAGAGGAATGTTTATGTAAGATTCCTGGAAAGGAAACTCACAGAAGGAGGAGACAGATGGCTTCTTTTCAGGTAAGTACATTCATGCACATGAACCTCATACTCTTTCTTTCTCAAAATATTTGGTATTGTGAACTTGTAACCTTTTCTGGTCCACATACTAGCTGTGTAGACCAGGCTGGCTTGGATCTCAGATCAGCATGCCTCTGCCTCTGGAGTTCTGAGATTAAAAGCATGTGCCACCATACCTGGACCAAATGAATTCTTTACATCTGTATCACCTATGTAGCATAGCCATCTCCCCATTCTGTCTTCCAATGCTTATTTTTTCCAGAGTAATCCAGTAAATGCATGGCCAACCATCTCAAAATTGTTTCTGATGAGGAAAGTGAAAACTGAAACACGCCAGTCTTCAATTTAAGGAGGATGGATATGCCACTGTATGTTGTTTTAACTGCACGTAAAGCTGGAAATCACCCGAAACTTCCCCCCTCCCACTGCTGCTGGCCCCCTCCCACTGCTGCCGGTTTTGGTTTGTGGTTTTTGCCTTTAAAAATAGCCTGTAAGCTGAGCTCAGGGCTGCTGCTGCTCTCTCTCCGAGTGAGGCAGGAGCCCGTCTGCGCAAATGATTAAATCCTCTTGCTTGTTGCATCTCCTGGTCTGAGGACTGAGTTATTGGAGTGCGGCCTCCCGTGGACGTTGGGTACCCCAGCCTGGGGGGGTCCTACATTTGGGGGCTCATCCGGGATTCGGTTGCCCCCAGACCCATTTCCTCAGATCAGCAGGAGGTAAGGACGTCTTGTAGTTTGTCTTGGTCTTAATGTCTGTAAGGTCCGTCAGTCATTTCCTGTTCTGGGAACATTCCGTCTGAACAATTGTGCCTGTACAGGACCTGTAAGTCTGTATTCTGGGAACCAGTGGGAGTGGCAGACGAGCCCAGAGACCCCTGGTGCTGACACTCTAGCCTTAGTGACCAGAGTCGTCAGTCATTTCCTGTTCTGGGAACATTCCGTCTGAACAATTGTGCCTGTACAGGACCTGTAAGTCTGTATTCTGGGAACCAGTGGGAGTGGCAGACGAGCCCAGAGACCCCTGGTGCTGACACTCTAGCCTTAGTGACCAGAGTGATCTGGAGAGAAGGGAGGTTAGCTTGGCTAGTCCCCTCCCGATCTGTACTTTCAGTTTTTGAGTCAGGAAGCGCACGGCAAGGATTTTTGTTTTATGTTTGTCTGTATATGTGCTTAAGGATCCTAAAGGTGAAAATGATGAGAGCAGTGTGCGTCTGAGTGAAAGAAGGACCAGTCTGTGTGTGTGTGTGTGTGTACTTGATGGTTATGTTAATATCTTAAAAGGGGAAGGTCTGGTTTTGTACTTTTCTCTGTGCTCTCTATTTTAAAACCTTCCCTTCCTCCCTTTTTCTCTCCTTTTATTCTCGGTCTAAGTCTTCACATGGGACCGTTAAAGGCAAAGGAGCAATTGAGGTTTTCTGGTCAGGGCCACTCCCTGATGTAAGCCAAAGGCTCTTAGCCCTCTTGGGGGACCCGGACTGCCCGCACGGGTGGAGACAAGACGCCTTATCTGTACCTCCCTCTGCTCTCAATCTCTCTCTCTCTGGCCACTGAAAAAGCCCCGAGGGCATGGGTTGAGCAAATAAAAGCCACAGGGCGCTCGCCGCTAAAAGACTCCCATGAAAGGTTAAGGGGGTCCCAGGAGTGAATCCCAGATAAATTCACGTCCACCGCAGAAGAAAATCTGGGCAATGATAGGTACTCATCCACAAGCACACTCACTGGACATTATTATTTGGAGTGGCATCTTCATATCTCTCTCTCTCTCTCTCTCTCTCTCTCTCTCTCTCATGGGTCAATCATTAACTACCCCTTTAAGCTTAACCCTGGAACACTGGAAGGAGGTCATGGAACGGGCCCGTAATTTATCACTGGAGGTTGAAAAGTGCAACTTATCAGTGGAAGTCCGAAAGAGGAAGTGGCAGAGTCTCTGTTCCTCTGAGTGGCCCTCTTTTGAGAAGGGATGGCAAAAGGATGGGACTTTTGACCTTGCTACTATCTTACAGGTTAAGGAATACATTTTCCACCCAGGACCACACGGACACCTGGACCAGGTGGCTTATATAGTCACCTGGGAAGACTTGGCCCGGAACCCCACACCTTGGCACGGCTGTTCCTGCCTCCTTGGGGAACCAGAGAGACTGATCAAGGGCCTCTTACCCCTTCGGCTCCCCCGAATCCAACTTCTTCCCTTGTGCCCCTTCAGTCTTCCCCTGAATAGACAAAACAAAAGCCAGTCCTCCCCAGGACCAAGCCTCCCTAACCCTCCTTGATCCTCCACCTCCCTATCCACCTGTGCAGGCACCTCCACCCCAGGAACCTCATCCCTCTCCCGATTCTACCAAACCTGATCAGTCCCCTCTCTGTCTAGTAGACTCCGCCTGAGAAGGGACAGAGGGGCCCCTCTGATGGAACCTGGACTGCCCAGGCCTTTCCCCTTCGAACTGTAGGGGAGCAGGTCCAGTACTGGCCTTTTTCAGCCTCTGACTTGTATAATTGGAAAACTCATAACCCCTCTTTTTCTCAGGACCCTCAGGCTCTAACTGCTTTAATAGAGTCTATCCTCCTCACCCACAAAACCAGCTGGGAGAATCGCCAACAACTCCTCCAGGTGCTTTTAACCACAGAGGAGAGACAGTGAGTCATCCTAGAAGCCTGGAAAAACGTGCTTGGGCAGGATGGGAGACCCACTCTACTCCCAAATGAAATAGATGAAGGATTTCCTCTGACCCTACCCAATTGGAACCTCGAGACTGTGGCCGGTAGGGAGCGTCTCCGTCTTTATCACCAGACTCTGATAGCGGGTTTCAAAGGGGCCGGAAGGCGCCCAACCAATTTGGCAAAGGTACGTGCTATAACTCAGGGGGAAAATGAAACCCCCGCAGGGTTCCTAGAGCATTTAATAGAGGGATATCGGATGTACACCCCTTTTGACCGCACGGCCCAGGAGCGTCAGGCAGATCTTATTATGGCCGTTATAGGACAATCAGCCCCTGACATTCGTGGTAATGTCCAATGGCTAGAAGACCTTCAGGGGTACTCTTTGCAGGACTTAGTGAGAGAAGCTGAAAGAATCTATAAGAGGCGGGAAACATTAGAGGAAAGAGAGGACAGAATCAGAAAGGAACAGGAAGCTAGAGAAGATAAGAGAGAGAAAAAGAGAAATAAGGAATTAAGTCGAGTTTTGACCACAGTAGTCCAGGGAACAGGACCAGGGAGGGACCTGGGAGACAAAAGGAGGCCTCAAGTAGACAAAGATCAATGTGCCTATTGCAAAGAAAGAGGACATTGGGCTCGAGAATGTCCAAAGAAGCTGAACAAATCTCAAAAGAAAATAACCCCAGTCCTGACTCTAGGGGACTAAGGCAGTCGGGGCCAGGAGCTGCCCCTGAGCCCAGGGTAACTTTAAAGGTAAGGGGGCAATTGACTACTTTCATGGTCGACACAGGAGCCCAACACTCGGTCTTGACCACAACTGAAGGGCCCATGAGTTCCAAAACAGCCTGGGTCCAAGGGGCCACCAGAGGAAAAACATACAGATGGACCACAGAAAGAAAAGTGGACCTCAGCATGGGACAGGTCTCCCACTCGTTCCTGCTGGTCCCCAACTGTCCATATCCCCTTCTTGGGAGAGATTTACTCTCTAAGCTGGGAGCCCACATCCACTTCACCAGAAAGGGAGCTACCCTAGAAGGAAAGGATGGAGCTCCACTACAAGTGTTAACCCTGAGACTGGAAGATGAACATCAGTTATATGAAGGACTGATAGTAGGAACTCCTGGTATACCTAATTAGCTAGCTAAATTCACCTCAGCATGGGCTGAGATAGGAGGCCCGGGACTGGCACTCAACCAGCCTCCAATAGTGGTCACTCTACAACCATCTGCAACCCCGGTTTCAATCAAACAATACCCTATGAGCAGAGAGGCTTGAGAGGGAATCAGGCACCACATTCAAAGACTTTTACAAATAGGTATACTCCGCCCCTGTCAGTCCCCTTGGACACCCCACTGCTCCCCGTGAGAAAGCCAGGAACGAATGATTATCGACCAGTCCAAGACCTAAGAGAAGTTAATCAGAGAATAGAAGATATACACCCCACCATTCCCAATCCCTACAATCTCCTGAGCTCCTTGCCTCCCAGTCACAGGTGGTATACTGTATTTGACCTGAAGGATGCGTTTTTCTGTCTGAGACTGAGCCCGGTTAGCCAACCTATCTTCGCGTTCGAATGGAAGGACCCTGAAGCTGGAATATCAGGGCAACTAACCTGAACACGACTTCCCCAAGGATTCAAGAACTCCCCTACTCTGTTTGATGAAGCTCTACATCGTGATTTGGCTCAATTCCCGGTAAGAAACCTACAGATCATGCTTCTTCAATATGTGGATGACCTCCTCTTAGCGGTTGAGACAGAAGCTGAGTGTCTGCAAGGTACGGAGGCTCTCCTATTGAGACTGGGGGAACTTGGATATCGGGCCTCGGCAAAGAAAGCCCAGATCTGCCTACAGCAGGTGAACTATTTGGGCTATAGGTTGGAGGGAGGGCAACGTTGGCTAACGTAAAGCAGGAAACAAGCGGTAGCCTCTATCCCCCCACAAACCTCAGCTAGAGGACTCAGAGAGTTCTTGGGAAGCGCAGGATTCTGTAGTACTGACTGGGCTTCACTGAAATAGCAGCTCCTCTATATCCTTTAACAAAGAATGGGACCCCTTTCGTCTGGGCAGAAGAACACCAGAGAGCTTTTGACAAAATAAAAAGAGCGCTGTTGACGGCTCCAGCTCTAGGATTACCAGACTTGACAAAACCTTTCATCTTATACATAGATGAAAATAAAGGGATGGCAAAAGGAGTTCTTACTCAGACTTTGGGACCCTGGAAAAGGCCAGTGGCTTATCTCTCAAAGAGACTGGACAATGTGGCCACTGGCTGGCCCCCATGCTTGAGAATCATGGCAGCAATAGCATCCCTGGTAAAAGATTCACACAAACTCACCATGGGTCAGCCCCTAACTATCATAACACCACATGCGGTGGAGTCCATCATTAGACAGCCCCCTGACAGATGGCTGTCAAATGCCAGGGTGACCCATTATCAGGCACTACTACTGAATCCAGAACAGATCAAGTTTGGTAGCCCTGCCACCCTAAACCCCGCCACACTGCTACCGGCACCCGAAAAGGGCACTGAGATTCCCCATGACTGCCAGCAGATACTTGCAGAGACTCATGGGACTAGGGAAGACCTGACCAACCAGACCCTGACGGATGCGGATGCCACTTGGTACACGGATGGAAGCAGCTTTCTGCGGGACGGTGAGTGAAAAGCGGGGGCGGCGGTGGTTGATAGAGAAAAGAAAATCTGCACCCAAGCCCTGCCGGCCGGGATATCGGCCCAGTGGGCAGAACTGGAAGCTTTAACCCAGGCCCTCAAGTTAGCAAAGGTCAAAAAGGTCAATATCTACACTGATAGCCGCTATGCGTTTGCCACAGCCCATGTACATGGGGAAATTTACCGGAGGCGGGGGCTCCTCAGCTCGGCTGGTAAGGACATTAAAAACAAGGAAGCAATAGTGGCCCTTCTACAAGCTTTGTATTTACTTAAAAAGGTCAGCATTATTCATTGCTCTGGACATCAGCGAGACCAGGGGCCGATTGCTCGGGGCATTCAGATGGCAGATGAAATTGCCCACCAAGCAGCAGAGGGCACCTGTATTCTCTACGCCCAATCGTCACCGGAGGCTGAGATCACGGAGGAATCAGAAAAAGATCTCTTCATTTATTCCGAGCAAGACCTAAAAGTAGCCCAGGAGTTGGGCGTAATGATGGATCCTGAAACTAGAATGTGGAGATATCAGGATCGAATCATACTGCCCCGAAAGGCGGCCCTTGAGTTAATCTCTCAACTCCACCAGTGGACGCACTTAGGACACAAGAAACTAAAAACACTACTAGAAAGAGAAGAACAATTCTATTATTTCCCAGACCTCAACCAGCTAGTCCAGAAGGTAGTGGGAGATTGTGTCTCATGTTCCCTGGTGAATGCTTCCAGATCAAAGGTCCCATCTGGCATTTACTTAAAAAGGTCAGCATTATTCATTGCTCTGGACATCAGCGAGACCAGGGGCCGATTGCTCGGGGCATTCAGATGGCAGATGAAATTGCCCACCAAGCAGCAGAGGGCACCTGTATTCTCTACGCCCAATCGTCACCGGAGGCTGAGATCACGGAGGAATCAGAAAAAGATCTCTTCATTTATTCCGAGCAAGACCTAAAAGTAGCCCAAGAGTTGGGCGCAGTGATGGATCCTGAAACTAAAATGTGGAGATATCGGGATCGAATCATACTACCCCAAAAGACAGCCCTTGAGTTAATCTCCCAACTCCACCAGTGGACACACCTAGGACACAAGAAACTAAAAACATTACTAGAAAGAGAAGAACAATTCCATTATTTCCCGGACCTTAACCAGCTAGTCCAGAAGGTAGTGGGAGATTGTGTCTCATGTTCCTTGGTGAATGCTTCTAGATCAAAGGTCCCATGTGGCATGAGAGAAAGAGGGACACGAACAGGGACTAATTGGGAAATGGATTTTACTGAGGTCCTACCAGGGAAGTATGGTTATAAATATCTCTTAGTGTTTATAGCCACTTTCTTGGGGTGGGTTGAAGCTTTCCCCACCCGGAAGGAAACATCCCAGACTGTGGTGAAGAAATTAATCGAAGAAATCTTCCCTTGATTCGGACTGCCCAAGGTAATTGGATCTGATAATGGCCCAGCCTTCGTCTCCCAGGTAAGTCAGGGAATGGCCAAAGCATTGGGGATTAATTGGAAATTACATTGTGCTTACAGACCCCAAAGTTCAGGACAGGTAGAAAGAATGAATAGAACCATTAAAGAGACCTTAACCAAATTAGCTCTAGAGACTGGCACTAAAGACTGGGTGCAGCTCCTACCTCTAGCCCTATTTCGGGCTAGAAATACTCCTGCTATATATGGCCTAACCCCCTATGAAATCCTCTTTGGAGGACCGCCTCCTGTCCTCAATGTAACCTTGTCTTCCTTGCCCTCTTCTTTTGATAACCCCAGCCTGGAAACAAGACTTCATGCCCTCCAGATAATCCAGAACCAGGTTTGGAGGCCTTTGGCTGCTGTCTACCGGCCTGGGAATCCACAAACGCCCCACTCCTACCAAATTGGAGATCAGGTGTATGTGAGAAGACACAACGTAAAGACTGTTGAACCACGGTGGAAAGGACCCTACACGGTTCTCCTGACTATGCCCATGGCCCTCAAGGTAGACGGGATTTCGGCCTGGGTCCATGCTTCCCATGCCAAAAGAGCCCCAGCCCAGGAGGACGCTGGAAAATGGCATCTCCACAAGACATCCAACCCTCTAAAAATAAGACTCTCCAGATATGATTCTACTTGTTTGTAGGTTTGTTCCCAGTCAAGGAAGCCCCCATCTCCCTATGCTGACCACTTGGCGGGTAATTAATCAGATGGGCATTGTGGTATTTGAAGCCCACAAAATGGCACCCAAGGGCACTTGGTGGCCTATATTGTATCCAGATTTCTGTAAATTAGCCTTAGGAGCACCAGGGCCCTAGGACTTAGAAGGAAAATGGAATACTGAGGTGGCACCTGACAAGGAAAGCCCCCCCCGGAGACTGGGGCTTGACCCGTGGGGGGTTGTGGCCCTCATGAACACCGGGCCATGTTGCGTACCTTAACATTCTATGTCTGCCCAGGCAACCACCGGGATAAACAGCTCAACCCCCAATGTGGAGGGAGGGCCTACTTCTACTGCAAAAACTGGGGATGTGAAATAACTGGGGACACCTCGTGGTCCCCGACATCATCATGGGATTATATCACTGTAAAAGCAAATTATTCTCATGGGAACAGTCGTTTGCAGGGAAAATTTGATGAGTGGAAAACTATTCATAAACAGGCCTGTCAAGGTAAATGGTGCAAACCCCTCTGGGTAGAATTCACAGCAGCAGGAAAAAAGGCTACAGATTGGGACAGGTGGTATTCTTGGGTAATCAGACTATATAAGGAACGGGCAGATGATGGCCTCCTTTTTACTATTAGAAGAGATGTCTCCTCCTACCCAACAGCTATAGGTCCCAACCCCGTCTTGCCTATCCAAAAACCCATCCCCAGCTACCCAAACCCCTTGCCAGCCTTAACACCTGAAGCTACCTCACAGTACCTCCCCAACCCTTTTCCTAATACTTCCCCCGCCAATTTCCTGCTAGAACAAACCCACAGTCCACCAAGTCAAAAGGTTACGACCACAGGGGACCAATTGTTCGATTTAATCCAAGGAGCATATAAGGCCATCAAACAAACAGACCCCAACCTGACTGAATTTTGTTGGCTATGTTTAGCAGCAGCACCCCCTTACTACGAAGGCATAGCTATACAGGGGACATTCGATAATACCACCTCAGCCAACCAATGTCATAGAGAGACCCCCCCACCCCTTAACCCTTACGGAAGTCTCAGGATCTGGACTCTGCTTAGGAAACCCACCTCCAACTCACACCCACCTTTGCAACTCCACTGTTTCTGTACCCCCAGGGGAACGCAACTACTATCTCCTACCTCCACATGGGGCTTGGTGGGCATGTAACTCTGGACTGACTCCTTGTGTAACCAGTATGGTCCTTAATACCTCTCAGGATTATTATGTCATGATTAAGCTCCTGCCCCGGGTAGTCTACCACCCCGTAGATTCTGTAGAACAGTTTTCAAGCAACATCCAAACAGATATAAAAGAGAGCCTGTGTCCCTGACCCTAGCTATACTTCTGGGAGTGGGGGTGGTGGCAGGGGTAGGAACTGGAACAGCAGCCCTAATACAAGGACCACAATATTATGCCGTTACACATGGCTGTAGATGAGTACATTAGGGCAATAGAACAGTCAATCACTCACTCAGAAAAATCCCTGACCTCCCTCTCAGAAGTAGTATTACAAAATAGAAGGGGGCTGGATCTACTTTTCCTCCAGGAGGGAGGACTCTGTGCAGCTCTAGGCAAAGAGTGTTGTTTCTATGCTGACAACTTGGGGGTTGTTAGAGATTCTATGACTAAACTCCACCAGAGGTTAGATAAAAGACAAAGAGACCGTGAATCCAAGCAGGGGTGGTTTGAAGGATGGTTTAATAAAACCCCCTGGTTAACTACCCTAGTGTCCACCCTAATAGGCCCCCTAGTCATTCTTCTTCTTTTAACCTTCAGACCATGAATCCTCAACAGACTGCTACAATTTATCAGGGACCGACTATCCGTGACTCAGGCCTTAGTCCTTACCCAGCAATACCATGCTCTAAAAAGAACAGAAGACCTATAGATTTTAGGATTAAAATCTTGCCATAAGAAAAGGGGGGAATGATGGATTTAAATCCAGTCCCCCAGGCTAAAGAATAAAGTTATTGATTAAAACACAGTCCCCCAGGCTAAAGAATAAGCTGTACAAGGAAGTAAAAAGAAAAATAATTTTAAACTGCTGAGAAAGAGCTGACTTTTCTGTGCACTTCACCCGAGCTGGAAATCACCTGAAAAATCCCCCCTCCCGCTTCTCTTTTTCTTGGCTTAGAAGCCGCTGTGGTTTGTGGTTTTTGCCTTTATAAGCAGCCTGTAAGCTGAGCTCAGGGCTTCTCCTTTCGGAGGGAGGCAGGAGCCCGTCTGCGCAGATGCCAAATAAAATCCTCTTGCTTGTTGCATCTCCTGGTCTGGGGACTGAGTTATTGGGGTGCGGCCTCCCGAGAATGTTGGGTAACCTGGACTGGGGGTCCAAAAAGTGCATGACCAACTATCTCAAAATGTTTCTGATGTGATAAGTGAAAAGTGAAATATGGCAATCTTCAGTTCCTAAGGAAGATGGACTTGGGTCCTCATATGCCATTGTATTGGTGTTTTAGCTGTACATAAAACTGATATTTTGTTTTATTCAGATGCTGCTTTACTTTGCTTATCATTTTAATCCCACCCACATCACAGGGCTGATGGAATGTGCTGTTGGGTTTGTTGACACCTGTATTCTCTTGTCTCCTAGGAGTAGATTCCTTTGGATGAACTGCTCTGCACCAAATGCCAGACTTTGACATCCTTGTTTTTAATTTATTAGGAATAAGATTTCTTCTGGTAGTTCACAAAGTGAAGCACATGAATCATGACATTTAATGCAGAATCTCTCCTTTCATCACTGTAGTTTTCTTCCTTTCTTTGGACAAAGAAACCTTTCTCATTTGTTTGCTAAGTATTCAAGTTTTCCAGATTCTGGAGCAGGCCCTTTTCTCTCTGTGGGTATTTCTATCACACTCAGCTCCAAACACTGCTTCTGTTACTGCTCCTTCCAGTTTCAGAAAAGTGCTCTGTTTACCAAATGTTAGACATGTGTAGTTGTCTGATTTGGAAGCATCTGTGTGTACAGCATGAACATTGTTCAGTCAGTGTTGGATCTTGTCTTTGTGTTTTCATTACTCTCTGCGGTAAGGAGCTCAGTTTCCAGATCCTCTTATCGTGGTGTGCGTAAGTCAGCCAGTGTGTTCCTTTAGGTAAATTTTAAGTAAGTAAATGAAGATTAAAAAGAGAAAGTAGCATGAAAAGATTTTTTTAGAATGTTTTCTGCTCTAATGTATCCATGATGTCTTCATTACGTACAGGTTCTAGGACACAAGGATTGTGTCTGTTCTTGTTGATGAGGGAGAGTGCACACAGTCCTTGGAACTCTTCATTTTAACTCCTCCTTTATTCTTCTGCCATGATCTTCTCTGTGCTTTGTACATGTGTCACTGACCTCACTGCAAAGCCTCTTAGCAAAAGGTTAAATCAGGCCTAGCCACAAGTCCTGTTAAGTTAAAATCTATGTTTTAGCTAGGGCTACAGTGCATGGTTATAAACATTCAAGTTCATGAGGCAGACTTATGAATCAGCGTGACTTTACAGGGGATAAATATATTCAACTGATCTTATATGCCACGAATACAGGAGGGAAATTGTATTCCTATGTTGAGTGCGTAATTTATGTATGTGCTACACTATATGAAATCATAATCTGCACAAAAATTTGGAGGATCTGATGCTGTTCTTTATTGCATACATTTAGGGCGTGGATTATGGAGACCTATTCCATTAAGAAATATCCTTTTCACTTAGGGTGTGTGCAGGCCTTTAATCCCAGAGTTCAGGAGGCATGGGCAGGTGGATCTCTGTGAGTTCAAGGCCAGTCTTTACATAGTGAGCTGGGTCTATGAGGAGGCCTTACTCAAGAAAAAAAAAAAGGAAGAAAAAAGAAATATTATTTTGAATTTTTTATGTGTATGAGTGTATTGCTTGCATGTAGTTAAGTGCACCCATGTCATGCACAGAAGGGTCCGTTGGATCCCCTGGAACTGGAGTTACAGACAGTTGCTAGCTGCCACACAGTGCTGGGATTTGAACCTGGGTCTGCAAGAACAATCAGTGTTCTTAACTGCTGAGCCATCTCTCCAGCCCTGAAATAGCCTTTTGAATAATTCAGATTGCTCCTCTACTTCAGAACTTCTTTACTAATCATCTCTTTTTTTTCCATGGGTCCAGTATCCTGTTCATGGGTTCATGGTCATGTTGTCGTTTTTTGTTTTAGGATCCGTTGACTTTCACGGATGTGTCCTTTGACTTCTCCCAGGATGAGTGGAAATGCCTAGACTCTGCTCAGAGGGCTTTGTACAGGGAGGTGATGTTGGAGAACTACAGCAATCTGGTGTCCATAGGTGAGGAGATTTTTTTCTTTCAGAATTTTTACTGTTCTGATCCTTTGACAGATAGCAGTGTACTTTGGACATGTAGTATTTTTGCTGACTAGGTCTTGGATTCCTTCATAATTAGTGCATTTGGAATGTTTGGGCAGCTACAGCTTGTTTATTCTTATCATTTCTTTCCACTTTCAGTTGTTAGAAATATCATTGTGGATTCTTTCATAATTAGTGCATCTGGAATGTCTGGGCATCATGAACAGCATGCTTATGTTTACCATTTCTTTCCATTTTCAGTTGTTAGAAATATAATCCATCTTCATTATTTTTGGAGTTAATTTCAGCCACCCATTAGTACATGATACTGTAGCTAGAATCTTAGAGTTCCATTTCCATAGCTGCATTTTTGTTGGACCCCCAGACTGGGGTACCCAACGTTCATGGGAGGCCACATCCCAATAACTCAGTGCTCAAACCAGGAGATGCAACAAGCATGAGGATTTATTACGTCTGCAGATGAGCCTCCAGAAAGAGAAGCCCCGAATTCAGCTTACAAGCTTCTTTTAAAGACAAAAACCACAAGCGGTGGCTATGTGCCCAGCAGAAGTGGGGGGGGGATTTCTCGGGTGATTTCCAGCTTGGGCAGGGAGCATGAAAAGGTCAGCTCAGCTTGTTCTTAGCAGTTAGAATTATTTTTCATTTTTACTTCCTTGTACAGTTTTTCTCAGGCCTGGGGGATTTTAGTTTAAATCTATCATTTTGGAGGGACTTGGGTCCATCATTTGGGGGGACTTGGGTCCATCAAGACAGGTAAATGCTATTGTTTAAAATGAAAAAATACTGTTACTTTAGGATATAAACCTAAAATACTTTGGTCTTAGTGAAATGAAGAAGTATAGGAAAGTTGCAGAAGTGGGTTCTTTCCTTCCCCGGTGTGGGATCCAGAGATGGATCTCAGTTCATCAGGATTAGCAGCAAGTGTCTGTACCTACTGAGCCATCTCACACCTCTCCCTTTATCTTGGATAGTATTGAGGATTAAACCTAGGGCTATTGTGTATTAGGCAAGTGTTCTACCACTGAGCTCTGTCCCCGTTGAGTAGTTTTTCAAACAGGCTGTCACTAGAGTAGCTTATAAAATAATTTAAAACCACTGATTTTAAAATAACTGAGCACTGCCACCTATTCTTTCCCCAAACCCATTATATTTATATTTAATTTGCCAAGCTAGTAGATAT